TAGTTTCAAAGCAATGGCCCTTGTCTTACTGCTACAGACTTAATTAAAAAGTCTTTCTCCGTATTTCTTATAAGCCCCCTTTAAGTATTGAAAGGCTGTAATAAGGTGTCTCTGGAGCCTTCTCTTTTCCAGGCTGAACAGCCCTAACTCTCTCAGCCTTTCCTCATAGGAGAGGTGTTCCATCCCTCTGATCATTTCCGTGGCCCTCCTTTGAACTTGAGGAACATGGTTGCTTCATGACAGCAGCTTAATTTCACCCTTTTTCCATGACAGTCCACCAGTTTACTCCGGGAGAGACTAGTTTGTAATGAGAGGGCAAAGTTTCACACTGCACACATCTATTACAGCTGCATGGCTTAAGCTGTGTATGTTGGTGCAAATGCACACCCTCTCACTTGGCAGCAGAAGACTCAGGAAACTTTATCCTGTCTCATAGGCTGTAGACTCCAGATGGAGTTCTGAAAAGTTGTAACAACACATAACTTAGTTTTCTGAATATTTAATGAAAATGCTAAAGAGGAGAAAGTTCTTTCCTTTTCTCCACACCACTGACTACTCCCTTTTCCTAAAAGATATATTTTTAAAAAGAACAATTCAAATTAACAAGGTAGCTAGCATAGTAGTCGGCTACAATTTAAGGTGTCAAAGTCAAATTAAAACCTGACCTTTATAAAACCATGTCATGCTATATAATACAAATAGCACCAGTGTTCCACAAGGAGCAGGTACTCCTGAGCAGCAGTCCAACCCTAGGCAGCCACTAAGGGCTTGTGCTGAAAGCATGTCAGGGCTCAACAAAGCCCAGCTTTACAGTGCTTAGGGAAAGCACTACACAGCAGCCCCACCTGCAAGTCCCGCTTGCATCAAATTTGGTCACTTTGCAGTGCTCAACCTCACATCTCGGTTTGGTCCTGGAGTGCTCAGAGGGACAAGAAGTGATTAAAAGAGCTGGGTGCCCACCCCAGGTGTTGGGTTAGCAGCCAACAGGGCAGGTAGGTCCTCGAAACTTTCCCAGCCCGCGGAAGGAAGAAGCCTTGGAGGACCGAGGCTCTGCTGGTTTCTTCTCCTGCAGGGCTTACACAGTGCATGAGCTCCATCAGGCATGTTGCTGAGAGCACAACACTTCAAACACCCCCAGCACTGTGGAGAGCTCAGAAAACAAAACTCACCTTCTCTCAGGTGCAGCTGGAAAGGGGGCAGGGGGATGGGACATTAGGTTGCATTGCATTTCTAGGCCTTGTTCTTTTCTAACTATAGAATATTAAATACACTATTACAAGCACAGTAGGAAAAGTTGACTTTTATGGAGAGAAAAGATATCACCTCTGAAAAATCTCATCTGTTTGCTGAGAAATTTTCACTCACTGTCTTTGACTAGCAGGAGATCCATGCTGAGAAATATGAAGCAGAAAGCTTTTGTTCAGAGTGAATTGCAAGAAAAAGGAAGATAAATGAGTGAAGCTTTTAATGTGAAGTTTTCCCTCTGGTAACATTTCATTGTATGATACAGGCATACAAAGATGCCAAAGGTAAGAAAACAACATTTTGGTTTGAAAGAAAGAACTTAAACTTTGGATAAGACTCACCTTATACTGGACTTGCTCAATAATGGAAAAAAAAATCTATAAATAAAACAAGCTCTTAAGAGGAAATCCCACTGCTGAGGTGAAGCTCTATTGAGGCCTATGTTTGAAAAAGTTTTGCAAACACAACTCCTTGGCTAGGAGCATAGGAAAAACAACATACCCATAACTATTTTGGCAAAAGTCAAAGAGTAGTGCAGCTGTCTGAATGAAAGCAAGAGGTTCCTCTGGACCACCAAGCCTCATGACTAGCTAAGCCTCTGCAGGGAACCCAGAGAGTAATTAAACCAATTCAAGGGCAAGGATGTTATGTGAGCACAAAACAACTATTTTGAGGGGGGGTGTGATTTGCTTATATCAGCAGTTATATCAGCAATCTTCTATCAGACAAGCCAAGAAGTCACAGACATTAATGTAAGATTTATCTGCTTACCAATCTGCCTTGTATCTTTTTACTCTTTCCAATTACATTACAGATAGAATAATCTTCTTGATAAGGAACAAGAGGTTTTTTTCACTCTTTAATACCACAGAAACATTCGAACAAGGTGAAGAGTGCTCTAGATATATGAAGCCACTGCCCCTCTAGGTAAATAACTTTCTTTACAGACATTTTTGAGCTGTTTATCTCCATCGTCAAAGCCTTCAATCAGGCAGATAAAGAAACATGCTTGTTGGCCAGCTAAGCAACATGCCAAAACAGAATTCCCACTGCCAGCACTGATACCACTTCATTTATATGTAGTTTCTCATCCCACAGGCTTCGGCTGTTTGAAGGGAAAGTAGTTCTCAGAACAGATGGAGTTGGTAATATAGCTCTTTCTAGGAGATACAAGGATTACACAGGGAATGAAATGGCGAAATAGTGTCTGCAGTACATATTGTAAAACTTCAACCACTCCAAGTAAAATTCCCTTCCCACTGAGAACAACATGATAGGACAAAGTGGAAGTGACAGTGTGGCTTTCCAAAACATTAGCTGTATCATGGCTGTTTCCCCTTAGAACATTGGCTACCCAAAACCTACTTGTAACACATGTTCCAACCTTGCACTCACAAAAAAATGTTGTGACTTGTCATTTTGAGTCAGTGTCAGAAGAACTGCCAAAAAAAAAGAATGAAAAAGATGTCTTAAAAGAGCAAGAGAGAGTCTGTGCACCAGACAGGGAAACAGTGCCTGTGTATATCAGAGCTCCTAAGCTCAGCTACAAAATCTTATTTGGTTTCCGCTAGATATACCCCAGGCATCTTACTTTCAGTGATGCAGGAAGACTTGTATCCTACAAGTCTAGTGTTGTTCCATGTTCCCAGGCTGTCTACCTATGCTTAGACTGAAATCTTTGCAAGGCAAGGCACAGAATCCTGGATATTTTCAGAAAAGCTAACTTCTGCAAAGATGACAGACTGCTTTGAGTCAAACTTGGAAAGCCACAACCACTGGCAACAGTGTTCCAACAGGATGGGGAGGGCAGAGGGAAGGAAGGTAGAAAAAAAGTCCATTGTCCAGGTAAACCATTCTAGTCCAGACCAAAGCTCCATTTAACCCAGTAACCTGTGCCCTGCAGTATGGACAAGAAGGCATATAGAGAAGACCAAAAGCATGACAAGCATGTATGGTATTTCTCCCACATATTTTTGCAGCTTCCAATGATTTTCATCTCAGGACAGGTCCTGATCCCGATTTGGTTTCTTTATGGAATGATCTCCAATAGGTGTCTCTTTGAAGTATGTGCCTTACTGTTTCATTTGCTTTGTTCATTGCCATTGAGCATTAAGATGACATTTTAAGTGAAGAACCATGATGACGTCATTCGTAAAAAAAAATCTGGAGGTTATGTGCTCAAGGTCTTGATTTGAAGTACTTTGCATCTTGTAATAAATTGTTATATCCAATTTTTCACTGTCTTTGTAGACCTTAGTGGGGACTTTCATTTTATGCGATTCTAGTTTAAATGTGTTACAGTAATCCTAGACATTTTCTCTCCTTACTATTCCCTTTTAAATTGCTTTTGCTTTTGTCAACTATCAGCCAGTTACAACCAAAGTCCAGTCAAATCACGCATATCTGTAACTCAAGTCTCATTATATGACTCATACATGTTCCATGCCTAAAAACAGTTGCTTGGATTCTTACTCTGGTCCTGGACATATAATTTACCATTACAAGAGTGTCCAAAAATATGAGGTAGGCCTGAGCCTCATTCTTTAAAGCAAGGTCTCTTGGATTGCACTGAATGGAATTTTAAATTTAATACATCGTGGTTGAAATCTTGGCTCCCTCTTTAATCTGTGGGATTGCTTTTATTACCCTTATTCAAGCCAGGGTTTTGCCTGAAGAACGTCTCTACTGTTTAGCATTATTTAATAATTAACTTGTTAGGAGCTCTCCTGTTTGCTAAAGCACATAGGTTTTCCCCTCTTCAACTTTACACAATGGCAGAGAAAATGACACTTGCAGCCTTCAGAGCAAGAAAGACTGAGATGGCCAAAGTGATCTTTTATCCAACTCTGTCATGCTACAGAGCCAATTGCTCCTTGTGTCCAGCTCAGAGAAACTTGCAGACATTTTCTTTAGGGCTGAATTTAGCTTGTAGCACTTTTCCAGTTGATGCTCTGTCCAGGAAAGTCCTTTTTGGCAACTGCAGTTTGAAATTCTACTCCAACCCTGGATCTTAAACTGAATCAGAGAATTTTAGTGGAGATGAAGAAACTCTCCCTCCTTTTCTTACTGATCATTCCCTGCCATCTGCAAAAGCCACTAATTTCTGCATAAAGCACAGCTTTAAAAGAGCTAGTGCAAATCACAAATGCACAGTTGCATTAGTGGGCAGTTAAATAACCAGAAAGATAGAAAGAAAAAAATTAAGCCTAGGTTTACCTAGGGTATACTTACATGTACTATTATGTGCATGTACTATATATATGTATATAGTACTATAGGACTTATATGTACTATTGTTAAATAACCTAAGAAATACTGAAAAAAAAAAAAAGAATGCAAGTGCAGTGTTTAGCATAGTCAACCAGAAAGGATTCATTCCTGAAAGTTTCAAGATTTGCTTATTTGGTGTCAACTTTGTCAGACACACCTTCCTTCCCTACAGCAGGCAGATTTGTTACCAGAAAAAACATAGAAACCAAACTGTCCATCTTCCACACTGACTTGGTGTGAATAAGATGGGGCAATTTGGATCGCAATGTTTTGCAGCCAGAAGGGCTGCGAAATAAACCTATCTCAAGTCTTGCCCCAAATGCTTTGACTTCAAGAAAAACTGGCAGCAAGAGACGAAATAGAAACAGTTCACTGCATTGTTCCAGCGGGCACTGAGGCAGGGCTATGCCGTGCAGTGAGTAGGTGTGATTAGCTCATTTGTCATTAGTTTAACACAAAGAACAGAAAGCAGAAGTCTAAGCACACGGAAATAGCACCCTCCAATTCTGATTAGCCTCTTGTTTATACTACATTGCGGTGAGCTAAGCCTGCACTGGCTCACTTAACCCTTCTGCGGGCACGAACGCTGTAACTCCCGTGTCCCTTGGAGAAAGGAACACCTCCCTCCAAAGTGTTACCAAGAGACAGAGAAGTGATCCTGCAAACTACCACCACCACCATGAAGACATCAAATGTTCTTGTTCTCATCTTGGTCCTGCTTTACATCAATGCCAGCACAGAATGGCCTACGCACACAGTCTGCAAAGAGGACAACTTGGAAATATATTACAAAAGCTGTGGTGAGATTTTTTTTACCATTTCCATTTTCTTTTTAGTTGCTCAACAAAGTTGTTCTTATGCAGTGAGAGACACTTACAAGCCAGGCAACGAATAGAAGGGTTATATTCCCAAGCCAGCACTGGGTTTCTCATCTAGAATATTTTTAGTCTTTCAAGTATAGCTAGTTTTGGTTCACACATACACACAAATCTAACTGTATTTAGATAGAAGATAATAAAGAGGAATAATGTAACTTAATTCAGAACAATAAACAGCTGTCAAACCCCCAGTTCAGCATGAAAGAGATGACTAGGATTTTTATCTAGAAGTTAGGTTAAAAAAAAAAAAAGAAGACCCTAGATCTTTATCTTCGTTATTCCTGAGACAAAATAGGCTCTTCAGTGATCTGCTGTTTTCCTAATATGAGATGAGGCTGTGGTGATGTGCTTTCTGTCCTCCCACTTGGAGTGACAAGGGACCAGTGTGACAATGGGAAGGATTCATGTTCTCTGCCACTGCCATCGTGCTTTGCAAGACCTCAGCAGCAGCCCCTACCAGAGGCATTTCCCAGGGATCATAGGGGTTTGTTTGCTCTTTAAATCCATAGAGAAGAAAAGGAGCAAGTGACACTGAAATTGACTGAAAATGAATTCACTGAATGGTGCCTGCTTTCCAACTCTTTCTTTGCTGGCCTTGTGCCTCTCCTATTGTGCTGATCTGCTTTACAACTGGGACAAAGGGAATTAGATTCACAGACGCCTCATTCATTTTCTGCACGTGATGTGAAAAGCGATTCATGGCAAATGAGCACCCTAGAGTTTGTTTTTCCAATTCATCCTAATACAAAGGGTTTTCCCGGGGGCTTTTTCTCCCCTGTGGCTCTCATGCATTTTTGCACACCCATTAGAATAAAGCCGGTGAGGGACAAGAGAAGTAAATAAATATTTGTAATGCTATTCTTTATTGGCCTGCTCCCAGGAGACTAAAGTCAAGCTTCACATACTATAAATGGGTATAATGCATTAAGAAAATATTTAATTAAATATTGAATACAAACTTTGGCATTACCTTTATTTCAGTAAGAATTTATTGCATAAATGAATTCTGTTCACTCAACAGGTCTCAGTTAGCATGAGATGCTTTGACAATGAGGCACAGGCTCAGTTTGAGTCAATTCAAATGATGATGAATTTGTCTGCTGGCATGTGCCAGTTAAGGATTGCCTCTTACTATGCACACCACTGGCCTAGCTAACAATATGCATTTGTTTAGAGTCATTTGTTTCTGTCACTTATTTGGGTTTGTGAACAGAAAGATAAGAGGTACATTCATTCAGGGGGAATTCACAGCTTGAGAAGCACGAGCCAGAGATCATGAAGGTCAGGTCCTGCCACTGAGAGTGATTTTCTGTTCTCCTGGTCACAGCTATGGGAGATGAACAGATTACACAGACATAGAAGCAATGCAAGAATTAAATCAGATTCTTTGTTTGAAGTCAGATTCCTTGCTCCCTTACAGCTCTGTCAAGATTCAAGTTGTTGCAACTCACAACTGCCATCACAATGTTCTGCCCCGCCTTTTTCCAGAGGCTACCACACCTGTAGAACCAGACCAGGATGCACCATTTGCATCTCTGCTGACCCAGTTCATAGTCTGGTAGTTTGCATAAAGGAGGAAAATATAAGATGTTTTGGGTTGAGCCCAAAAATCTACAGGTGGGAAAGATAAATCCAAATATACTAGTCTACATCCCCTTCAGAGAAGACACTGTTCTTACTGAGTTCTCTGGCAAGCTCATGATGGTGCCAAAGGTGCTGATTACCCTTTCAGCAGAGGGGAAGCTTTGTCCCTACTTCATTTCACTGTAAACTGTAACTAGATGGGCAGAACATAGCATCATTTTTCCTCTGTGTCCTGCCAATTGTTCTCACCCAGGAGGAAACAGACTTGTTAGTACCTAGGTTTGACAAGTCCCTTTCCCAACAAACCTTCTCATGACAAATTTATAATATCAGCAAACACAGAGTCAATTCTAGGCAAGTGCCCATACTCTTCAGCTATTTCAGGAGAAACTGCCCCATATGTCCTCCAATCTGAGAAATCCCCTTGATATTTCTTACTCCATTGAAGGTGTCAGCAGATGACCCATTTTTGGGATACAGGAGCCACAGTGAGGTAACTAGTATGAAATCTTGGGTAAAGTATTCGCTGTTGCCATCAAGAGGGTCAGGATTTCACCTCTATTATTGTTACTATAGACTCTAGGATGTTATCAGTGAATTAGGGTCGAATCAAGTGAAATGCAAGGAAGTTGAGAGAAGTACTTCACAACTTTATTTCTGCAGCTGAATGCCCTCTATCAACAAATTAATAGAGTTCAGTCTGAGCATTTAAAAAGGAGCCAAGTGCTCATTTTTGCCTTGCAGTTTATCAGATCCTCTCCTATAATGCAGTAAAAATCTGACTAAAGCCAAAAATATGACCTAATATAACTGTGATTAATGCAGCAGAGAAATTTAGGTGGATAACTGAAAATAGAGAAAGTGTAGCAATCTCCCGTAGCCAGAAGCAAATCCCAATGGCCTGTCACAAGCAATTGTTCTAGCTGCATCTGCCCCTATAACACATAAGATACAGGCATGTATCAAGTCCGCAGCCTCAGTCTATGCTCAGGATCCTATACGAAGGATCCCCATTCCCACTAAGCCACGTCAGACTAAATGTTCTATAACCAGGACCCCAAGACATGCATCAAAATAAAGGGCTAGACAAGATTCTAGCGATAAATATAATGCAGTTGTAAAAGAGTAATCTAAAAGAAATCAGATAAAAATTCTCAGCAGCAAGTCCATGGTGAGAAAGTCAGGCTGAGACATGGGTGGTCTAAAAGTAAAGTAAATAGACAGTGTGCTGCCTCCTTTGTATAACCGCAGGAGACATAACACCAAGACAGTCTATAAATAGCAAGACATTTCCTATCAGGGCCACTCTTCCTCCCAGGAACAAGTGACAAAAATGAAGGAAGATCTCAAATGACCACAAATCACTTTAGAAACCTGGGCAGAGATCCCAAGATAAAAGCAGCACAGGTTAACATCTCTGACTGAGAAAAGAGAACCTTAATTGGCGAGTCTATGCACAGATGTGAAAAGAACCTGCTACACAAATGGCCAATTCCTATCCCTTTTAATTTCAAAGTGATTTTTACCTTAATAATGCCTTTGATATTGCCAACTACATTTTAAAAGGCAATTGTCTGGGAAGGGAGGGGCAGGTAGGCAATGGTAACGAAGTGCCCCAAGCAGATTCCAGTGCTATTTGAGTAACAGGCATCCACTTGGAAGTGCAAAGTGTAATGCAGTCAGAGACTAGAAAACATAACTCCTCAACACATCTACAAGCACCTGCTTCTAGATCACTCATGTAAGCCAAATTGTCTTAATTAGCCATGAAAACGTTCTCGCTACATAGTGTTCAAATGGGATCCCCTTCATAGAGGGATCCCATTTCCCACAATCACCTGTGTCTGCAGGTGATTCCTCCTGCAGACACAAGAAAACCATTTTCCAACTATTTTTACAGTTCTTTCTTGAAATGTTAGTTGGGCCTACATCACTAAATTAATGTTTCAGAATGTCAGGTTTTGTTTCAACCAGCAAACCCAGAGCACTATGCTTCATGATTATTAAAGTTCTGTGTTTAGATTAAGACCCAGAAGATTTCAGAGCTGCCCACTGTCTGAAACTGTAGATTTCTTGACAGTGGAGCAAAGGAAACTGATAAAGTAGAAGGTTCTTAGACAGGGTCTGGACACCATGGACCATTGAGGACTCCTTGTACTCCCTGTGCAAGGCAGTAAATAAGAGAGAATTTCAGGGAGATCTTCAGGTCAAAGTACTAATATTTGAAGATGACATCTTCAGAAATATTCCCAAGGCTCTATAAAACACTGTTTAGACCACATGGGATTTTAAATATCATAGAAAAACACATTTTCCCATTGTGATTTTTCTTGCTTTTGTTTTTTCATCTGAAGCGAGGTTAATAGCCACCAGCTGAAGTTTCAGGAGCAGGAGCAATCAATCAGTATTCATTTCAACCTCCAGAACCTAAATATGAAATTGGCTGCACCCTTTACAAGTTTTATATTTGTGTATCTACAGATTAAAAATAATAAAACGTATTTACAGATATGGTTAACCATTTGCTTTAATAATGTCTTCTGCTAGATGAAGACTCTGGTCACCCAGAGAATTGTTTTTGGTGACAATGCCTCTTCTGAAAGAGGAAAGTCCGACTGAACTTATGTCCAATGAGCTCCATGTCTGCATAGTTCTATGTCACAGTTCAAGCAGCATTATTTCTACAAACCCTTTTCCTGCCCTGTGGTGGAACAGTAGGAGAGAGCAGCACTGCCCACTTCACTGCACTGGATTGCATTTGCAATTAGAGAAGCTCTCATTTGTATGGCTTTTCTTTAAATTTGTGAGCTTGGATTTGGATCTCGGTGAAATTGCCCCTTGAAGTCAACAGGGTTCTTCTGGTGTAGAATATGCTCTGGTCAGATAGTGCAGTATAGACTCCCTTATGTTAAACTCTGTTTTGAGGGAACTTTTCAGTGCTTAAAACAAAAAAGTGGAGGCAGAGACTAATTAGCTCACAATTTCCTGATGATTTGTCTGTCCGTGCTAAATAGTTTCAGGGTCCTGGTCACGCACTCAGCCCATCGTATCCTTTCTCCTACATACTGAGATATCAAATATACTATTTTTCTTAAAATGTGTTTTTTCCTTTTTTGAAAAATAGACCAGTAACACCTATCCCTGCTAAATCAGCATTACCAACTTGTAAACAATACTGCTAAATTGTCATCATTGCAGCACTAAATTTACAGCACATCACTTTCTGTTCTCTGTGTCAGCCACTTTAACTTGTCTTTTTTCCTCCCTGACCACACATTTATGTCCTTTAGTTAAAGGCTATAAATAATCTGATAGCTTTAGATGGCAAAGAAAAGTCT